AGAAGAGGGAGACTTGTAGACAACAAACACTCTATAGTTGGCTCCTTCGTAATATGTATAAATCCGACAGAGAATTTCAAACGAATCTTCAATCGCATCAGCTAGAACCAGAGAAATGGAGACATTTCGCCTAACAAGAAGTATAACTCCTCCTCCAGACCTCTCCGAACGATCACATATAATTGCATTATATTCATCAATAATGTCCCCAAGAGTAGAGGATAGGATATGACTAGATTTCAGCCAAGTTTCCGGAAAAGCAAAAACATCATAGTTACTTGACAACAATATCTTTATAAAGCTCGCATTCTTAGAGACAGACCTTACATTTGCATAAAAGAACCTTAACATACGAACAGACCGGGTAACATCTAACAGTTTCCCCCGACTTTAGCGGAGGAACTAGTTGCATTCTAGGACTGGGAGAAGAAGTAGCGGTAGGCGACAAACCATCATTGACGGTGGAATGCGTTTTATAGGACGTTATACCTCCTTTCTTCATGTCACATTCCACATTCAAAAAATCAAGGATGTGACAGACACTAGCACAATCATACGATATACGATCTCTGAAGTTCAATAACTTTAGTTCCGGTACTCCAATAGCAATGATTGAACGTTTCTTCTCAACTTCTTGATAAGGCAACACTACATCTGGCTTTGATAATTCCATGTTAGTGGCTTGATACAGTTGACAGTCTTGTATCTTATTGAAGAATCATGAGACATATCCTTACGAAAATTAACAAGTTCTTGCCTTAACTCAGCGTTTTCAACGTGTAGATAGTGGGGTTCACGTATTATTGCAGTTATTGCTTTCTTGACTCCATCTGCCACGCGATTCGATTTCGTTAAAAGCGCAACTTGTTCTTGTAGCTCTTTTGGTAAACATACACCAGTCATATCCATTCCATCACAGCCTTGTCCAATTGATTCTGAAACGGAGATCGGTGAAAATTGAAAGAATTATTCAGCAGCAACCGATTGCGAAGTGCGAAGCAACAAATTCAAAGAAACACTATGCCTTATAAAGTGGCACCCTTCACAAAACTTGAGTACTCACGTGCCACTATGAGCAATGTGTGATGTGCAATCCTTCGATACAGAAAGTGTGGTAATAGCACCAAAAGATGAACCGGCGGGTTTGAGAATACCGAGAGACGCCCAATAGAGCAACCGCACGCGAGCCGGTGAGAATGAGAAAGTGTACGAAATGCCTGTGCTATAGACCTGCGAAGTCTGACAGAATTCCTGATTTATGTTGCTCGTAATGAGTTCAAGGAGGTCATCACGCACCTTAGCCGAGCGGATTTCCGAAAATCATAAGGCCGAAACGACCACTCAGAAGGGCGTCCAAATCACGAGTCACAGTGCTGGGAGGCTTTCCCTTATCTGGCTGCGCTCGTTCAGCTTTGGAATTAGGTCCGAGTTTCTCACCATCGCAGCCGATTTCCACAGCTGTCATGCGAAAGGTAATGTGCAGCCTATACGAACTCCAAGACCGTCTCCGTTATAAGGCTAGGTTAGACAGCGGCTCCTTGGCGGC